CGCGTCCTTGCAGTTGGTACCCACACGCGAGGCGCATGCTGCTGGTCCAGTGTCCTCCCTTTCATATGATCTTCTTGCGCTCATGCCCCTCTTCGGGGATGTCCGGGCGGTACTTCACCACCCCTGCCCTCTACCCCTCTTTTTCCTTCTTCCCGGGGATGCCTGCCCCCTCCCCTTAAGGGTTCCCCTTCTCCAATTCCGACGGGATGGGTTTGGGATGGGAAATCACCATGGCAGGTCGTTTTCTCATCAATAGTGAATAAGCCCGGGGAAAGCCATTGGGTTCAGGGGGATTTGACCAGACCATTCTACCCATGGTCCAATTTTTGGCGTAGGAAAGGACAAACCCCCCCCCCCCCCCCCCCCTGCCCAAGCGCGACCATTGGCGGTACCGTCATGGTCCGGCCGTAGCTGAAGGGGCGTGTGGGAGGTTTTTCTGCTCAGCTGTAATCTGTGGCAGTCGTCTGCAGCGCCAACTATCTATCTGCCTTGCCATCAGGCCCAGTTTACCCTTCGACGAGTAGATAGTTTGGGGCACAATTCAACGACAAGGCATTTCGAGGCATGTCAGAACAGAAGCTATCGAAGCAGTTCCTTACAGCGATCCGAGGAAGCGCCTTCGCCCATGGAGTTTCAGCCTCTGACCAAAGCCCAAATAAGAGAGACCACCCTTTCTTTTCCCTGTTGTCCATGCCTCTCATTGCATAGTTACCGCAAAGTTCTTCAAGGTCCATTTTTATCTTGCTTCTTATTCCTGCCCCCCCTGTTAGCCACCCCCCTTCATCGGACAACTGGCTGTGCCAGCTCATAATACTTCCACATGTCTTCCCCTCTGAGGATCCCTGAAGTATAGGACCGATCCCTTTGTGGAGGGGGCGGCTACTTTCCAACCTGGTTACCACGACCGGCACCATCCGTTGCAAGCTCTCCAACGACCTCGGAACCCTTGTTCCCTTGACGCTCACCAGTCTCCTTACGGGTCGACCGACTGAAATTCGGCGTACGATATTCCGCTTCGCAGATACTCTCTACCTGTTGCTGGGATTCGAGCGCGGTACTCTCTTCTTGTCAAACCAGGTTTGCCTCCACCGCGGCTCCAGATTGCCTCAGAGCTAGTGCGGGATCCTGGCCCAGTACTCGTACCTCGGAAAACGCACAAGGCCCTACCCTTGAGAGGCCTACCACCGGACGACATAGGCAACATCGAAAGAGCCATTGTGAGGGGAAGACCAGCAGCTTCAAGCCGTCGCATTAACGCGAGAGTGCTTAGGGCCAGTAAGACTTCGAGACTCAATCAACCATCCGATCTGACGAGCGGTTCACGCTACGAAGCCCAGGCCGCCCGTGTGGGATAACCTGCTGTTATTTCGCCTGCCAAACTACCAGCAAAGTACCCAGCTGGACACTTCTTGGGTCAAAGCGTGACGCAACCTTGAGACGGCCCTTCGCCGACGCCGCCTCATCGCCAATCGCCGTTGGGATTGTCTTCCGCACCAGACCGAGGGATCCCGCTTCGGCTCAGTCAGTTCGAAGAAAGGGGTACAGAGTTCGAGCCTGGCGAAGCGACCCACCTTGTGCTAGGCACTGATGGAAGAAGATAGCCACAGATCAAGTGTCCTTGGGTAAAGCTCCCTATCCCAACCATTTTTTTTTTGTCAAGGCAGGGATAAACAAGGAGGGCCGGCATTGCTTTCAAAGACACAACCACGGCCATATCGCTTGTATATCTCGTCATTCCGGAACAAGGTACACTCGCGCGTTGCTTTCCACATAGCGCACGAATCTACGCAACGAATACAAATCTTAGGTCGCAACACAGTATATCAAAGCCTGAAGATAGAGCTACCATCCTCTGCCATTGTCTCCCCAAAGACATGTCAGTAGCTGAACGAGCCCTCGAAGTTATCAGACACCCTAGGTAAGCCTACAACTGCCAGGGCCGAACACCATCGGCGGCTGGCTTCTGGACCTGCACATTGTTGCACGACTCTGCCTCGACCTTGACCTTAGTCAAGTAAATACGGGCCGTCGAGCGGCGGTACCCCAGATCACCCCCAGATCACCCACCCATGGTTTATCTTTAGGGGAATTTCCACACCCTTCAGCGTGTATCTTCCACTTTTTACCAAACCTTAGCCCTCTTTCCCCGATCACTTCATCCCTTGCTCGCCGCATGATAAGTCTCGGGCAGTACTTGACAGTAGAGTGCTGTTCTGAGGTCTTGAAGTAACCAGAAGGAACAAGACTGATCATAAGACAGGACACCAGCAAGCGTCGCAAGCTCAAACTCGCCAACGAGCTATACTCGTCATCAAACGCCATCTAGTTACCCAGCAAAGACACGCTCTTTATTTTGTGTAAAGCCTTAAAGCCACTAAGCCAGCAACGACTTCCATTCTCTGCTTCTTCCTCCCGAGAGCCGAACCAACCCCCCACCTCAGCACGCATAAAGGGCTACAAGCAAGGAAGAAGTGTCGAATCGACCAGCCGCAGATTGGCTCCAGACCCCCGCCACAGAAGACCTCCCAACTCTGGTACGCCTCTCATCCCAGGCGCTGCACCTGCAGAACTCCAGTGCTATTTGCCCATTTCGATTGGTCCATCCTTCTACGCGCGCCTTGCCCTCCTGGTAGCTCGTCCCGCCCTTGGGCATACAGACTGTCCCAAGCATCCGACCGAGGAAGACCATAGCGTGTTCTTTTATCTCCCCATCGAGGACCCAGTCTCTACTCTTGGAAACAGTTCGTTAACCAGTTTGTCTCGGCGCTTTCCCTCTTGCCGCCTGCTGTCTGGTCACTTGGCTGCGTACTGGCTTTAACAAGCGCTGTACCAATTATTCGACAGTCCGCTCATCAATCACGACTGAACCCACCCTTGCCAACTCAGAACACACCACTTGCAGGCTTTCCCTCCCCGTGACATCTCTCTAGGCTTCCTCGTGTCCCGACTCGGGTTTTCCAAAGCCAAAGATTCCACGCTGGCCCTCGACAAGAAGAAACACGCTGCACAGCACCCTAGCCCACCGCCGTCGAGCAAAGATCACACAAGGCAAGCCATCATGGCATACCAATACCCGCCTCCGCAAGTGTCTACGCATGCTGCGCAGGCCAACATGCCACCCGTAGGATACGGCTCCGACTACCGAGATGGACCACCGAGCAGCAATAGTGCTTCTATGGAAATTCGTTCAACTGACGGAGGAGTGCGGAAAAACTCGTTTCCACTTGCTAGTCAAAGATTAAAGCATTCTACATCTACGCCTGACGTTACGCCGCTGCAGAGCAGCACGACAGACGCGTCTCAGCTCGCTCTTGCTGCGGACAAGCGGAGGAACAAGCTGGGTTACCATCGAACCTCGGTGGCTTGTGGTGAGTTCCTTCCCATGACGTCTTTGCAAGTTCCCCAAGATGGCCTGAGAACTCACGTTGGCTAGGTCACTGTCGACGACGGAAGATCCGTTGTATCCCATCCACATCTGATGCCCAAGGCCGCTGCGTCAACTGTATTCGACTGAAGAAGGAATGCAGCTTCTTTCCCGTCGACCAGCAGCCGACCGCCGATACTAGGCCCAAAGCACCTTCACGAGCGTCCACCAGCTCCAAGATGGACTCCGCGTCTCCCTCACCCGCATTGGCTCCACGACACGCTCCTGAAGGATTATCTACGGGTCTGCAATACTCGCCATTAGATGTACCTGGAGCACAGAATGTTGCACCACAGTTGGGTATGAAGATTACCGACGCTGAAGGGTATTCGTCGGAGTCGAAATGTAAGCAACGCCGCGCCCTCGTGAGCCGGTTACAACCGCTAACCTGAAGACACAAGTGCCATCGAGTGCTAGCTCTCGACACTTTGATATGGGTGGACCGCAAATGCAGAACTGGATGGCTGCTGAGGGAAGTCCTAACCCCGCCACAAGACCGCTTGACTCGAACGCGTCCTGGAGAGCCTACGCAGGCACCGATTCTCCCATTACACCGTCCTTCTCGCCATACACTCCGAATGCACCAAACCCACCAGCAGGCTGGGCGTCAGCGTCAAACTCCGAACACGGCGTTCGGGAAGACATACCCTGGACGGCCTACGCTCCCGCTCCACCTCGAGCTGTGTCGTATAGCAGCGAAAGTCACGTCTCCCCGCCGTACCAGTCGATACAGCAACATGGACGGCCATTCGAAAGAACGGGACACAACGTGCCTGCTGACATGTACCCTCAGTCTGTACAGACGAACGTTACTGTTGCCAGAAGTGGTCCGGCTCCCACCATGACGCAAAGAGGCTCGGTTCCTGGCGGTGTTCTGCCATCAAACAACTACGGGTCGTGGCAACAGCAGTATCAGTTTTCGAGACCGTCTGGAGAAGGCTACGGGAATTGGGCGTACGACGACCAAGGCTCGCACCCATCTGTTGATCCAAGTGAGCAGATACCAACATCGAACGACCACCCTGCGCAACCCGTTGGCATGTATTACTCGGGTCGGTAGGACAACTGCGAGTTCAGCACCACTGCCACCACACCTGTCGACCCAAGTGTGATGCCATGAGGAAATCCAGAAAATGCGTGACAAGGGGTTCAACGTGGCCGACAATCGGGACCAAAGCCAGCGCCACTGTTGGTTGCCGCCGCGAAGGGAAATAATACACCCCTCGTTCAAACTTTGGAGGCGCTGGTGTAAAGGCAGCGGTTTGGAGGACACGCGAAAAGCGACAGGAGCAGACGTGGATCGTGCATGCACGAAGACGCATCGGGCAACCGCAGCGTCGTGATGGAAAGAGTGCGCACAGAGGCGAGCACTAAGCGAGTCAGGGGTCCAACTCTGGTGCGGCAGCGATGACGTTGACAGCATACAGACACCTTGCAGCGTAGAGGTTCTTTTAGATAAGTTTTGGTTTGGGGAAAGGAGTACTGACGAGGAAAGGGATATGTTTTTGGCGGGTAGATGGTCTGAAGACGTCTCAAGGCACTGGGAGACGTGGGCGAGGGAGGTGCCGTCGGTTTAAGGTTGAGGATGCAAGGGAGAGCCCTCGAAGAACGGGGTCTGTTCCCACTAGCTCGGGGGGTTCCAGACTTGGACATGAGCCGGTGAACAGGGAGGAAACAGCAATTGGCGGCGTTCAACACGGACGGGATCTGGGCACAGACATGACGAACGGACAGCATTGGCAATTGGGCACGACGAAAATTTCAAACCCCTGACCATGCAAGCAAGGACGCAAGGAAGAAAGATGAACGATGAAGGGCATGAGCTGGGCGCTCAACAACTTGATAGAAACGTCGGAATGGGAGCTACCGGGAGCAAGCTATTGGGGGGCGATGATTCGATGGACTTTTGCTCTCGTGGGCACTTTGATACGTGCGCCTGGGGGCCGAGGAGGTGGGACTTTGGGAGTATTTTGCTTGATGCGTCTCTCCTGAGATACCCGTCCTGCGATTTTATGGCATGTATTTTTTACTTGGTTAAAAAGTGTGTTTATTATCATTTGATCATTTCTTTGGTGCGCGAATGGTTGATCGGGGATAGCAGGACACTTTTTTTGAGGGGTTCACGCAAATATAAAGTATTGGATGGAGGCCAGGCCGCACGAAGGCCGCAAGCAATAGAAGGCTTGAATTGAGAAGTTTCTACCTTGACGTTTTTGGCTCGAATATCCTGTACTGAGCGCCTCGCGGCGCAACAACAGTTCAGGGAGGCGGCATCCGTCCATCACCGAAACCATCCAGAATTCGTGGACCGCTCCACTTCAGACAAACAGGCATACACACACAATGTATCCCCAGTGACGACCGACCGCAGACCTCAGCTGACAAGCTGCCAGGTCAGAACAAGCAGGGTCGAGTAGGCAGCGAGGCTCAGGCCGGCGAGCAGGGCGACGCTGTTGCCCGAGGTGCGAAACCTCTTGGCGGGCGCCTCGTCGGCGTCGGCCGGGTCGCGGTCGCCGGCGGCGTCGACGTCGGGCGCGGCGAGGAAGAACTGGCGGTTGCCCTCGTAGCGGCGGTAGATGGCGACGAGCATGACGGCGGCGCCGTAGACGGCGAAGAGGGCGCCGATGGCGTAGAACTCGGACGTGAAGATCTTGAGGATGATGAGGGCGAAGGAGAACTGGCCCAGGGCCGTGCGCATGTAGGCGCCCTCAAAGGTGCGCTGGGCTGCGCGGATCTCGACGAGTCTGCGGGCGCGCGCGGGGCGGACGTGGTTAGCTGGCTTGGTTCTGGGGGGGACGGGGAGGCCGACGGCGGCTGAGGAGGGGACGCAACTCATCGGAGGTGAGGACTACGGAGCGGGCGCGGTGGAGGCGGAGGTGGAGGTGGTCTTCGGGGTTGGGCTGAGAAGCGTCAGCAGGTGTTTTGAGAGGTATAAGTTGGGCGTCCTTCATGACGCTCGCTCTGCTTGGCTACTCTCACAAGCGGACGGGGATCCAAGGCTGGCTGGGAGGTGGTTGAGAGTGGTGGTTTGTGAGACGTACTTGGAACATGATGGGCAGTCCTCAACCTTGAACTCGGATAGAGACGAGGATGAGTCAAGGTCGTCACGGCTAGTGTACAGGATGTCGCTGTTACTTATCGTGACATGTAGCGGCGGCCTCTCCGGATGATGAGGGATGGATATTGATCCTGGATGGATGCCCTTTTCAAAGCGAAAAGAGTCAACTTCGCTGGTGAGAGAAAGGTCAGAAACAGACTTTCTCTGTCATCCAAAGATCTGCACAAAAGCCTGCAGGACCTCTTTCGTACATGGCATGAAGCCGGCTGGACGTCCAGTTGACGATGCTTGGCGAGATGCAGGTGAGATGATGCAAGCGCGAGAGGTGGATGAGGTGCTCGGCAGACCAGTGGTCCCTCGGCTGATTCGCTCATTGGACCGTGAGCGACTTGACCCCATTGACCCCAGCGCTGGGACCAAGTCAAGTCACAAGACCCGCGGCCGTTGCACACGTGCTCTGGCGATTAGATACGACTCTCTACGGCGCTCTTTTCCGGACCAAAATCCACAACTGCCGAATCGGGCGACCGAGCATCACCAACGAGCTGAACCCGCACTGCCAGTACGCGTACATGGTATGTGCCTTGCGGAACCGGAACCTGAACCTGCACTGGCAATGGCAATGGCACTGGCACTGGCACTGGCACTGGCACTGGCGTCTGCACCTGCACCTGAACCTGAACCATTGGCATGCTTGATGTCATATCAATTGCAATACAGCAACAGCAGGCGATTGGACGTCATCGTCTTCCTGCCCGTCCACCGTCCCCCGACCCCCGCCCCAGGCCGCTTGTTCATCACCGTGAAACGAAAGGGCCAACTACAGCCTAGCCGCCGGGGCCGCCCAACAGGGTTGCATGCAGTGCAGCATGGATTGCTGTCTGCCAAATGAGTGACACTGCGTTTCGGGGGCAGAGTTGGAGACAGTCCCGGGCTAAGAGGGGGGGGGGGAGACAGCAA